AAAAAAGGATTGCACTCTACATTGCGATCATATTAATTTTTGCCACATAAATCAGATATAAGTGTCGTCTAATATAACATGAAAGTGTAGTAAAAATTAAAATTCGCAAAATTTAAAATTTGAAAAATTCCAACGGTGTACTTCTTATCGAGACGTATTCTCCAATGATAGTATTTAACGATAAGGAATCAGGTATCAATTTTTCAAAAAAAAGCTTGCGTTTTAGTCGACGGGACATCGAATGATCAATAAAACAGTTCGCGTATACGGGGAGTCGCGAAGTACTGTCGTGTGAATTACGAAGTGCAGCGGAATGGCGACGTGGCGTCAGGTGTCGGGGCGGGTTTGCCGAGATGTCTCTCGACTGTCGATTGGAGAACGCTCGGGATGCTGCCAGGGATGCTGGGGAAACGAGAGGGCGAGAGAGCCTGCGACGCCGGGTCCAAGGGCGTGGTTACGGTAGATGAAACAACCCCTACCAGAGAGCTGCGAGTAACCAAACTCACCCTTCCTCGCGTCGATTTTTTTTCACCAGAGATGCTACCGTCGCCTCTCCCGACGATCCCGTCGAAGCCAAGAGATCGAGATGTTGCCAGAAGCGATTTTGTTGCCGCGAATAAAGTTAACAGTCAATGTCGGTCTAATCGCGATCCGGAGTCAATAAATAGACGAACGATTTAAAGAAATGGAACGCGTAAATTTGTGCTAAATTTAACGGTAGTGATGGAACAATGATTTATTAGTGATGAACAGATTTTGTGTGCGATTGTTCAATTGACGAAAGAACTTAACGGAAGAAATTAATTGAAGATAATTGGAAATAAGTGAAAAGAGTGATATATTGCTTCAAACTGAATGAAATTGGGCGTTTAAAAAATTATTTCTACCTCGGAAGTTTATGGTAAGTCTTGAATAAATAAACAGGAATAAATATCAATTATATGCAATAATGAATAGTCTTTATGTAAAATGCAGTTTTACTTCGTAAGAAATATTAGAAGGAAATTTCAAAAATCAAATCTGTTGTTATATGCAATGTAGTAAAAGTGTAAATGTATTTGTAAAAGTCAAATTCAAGTTCGCTACTATTTACGCTTTTTTGTGAAATTTTTATTTGTTTTACAGCCATCTTTAAATTATAATATAGATTAAAATAAAACTTCTTGAAAATTGTAACTGCATTTTTTTACGCAATTTAGCTCGCATAGAATTGCAAAGTAAGAAACCCGTATGTTCAACTTGAAAATAAAAAATCTATAGGGGATCGTATCGATTTGATTGGATAGCGGTACCGCTATAAATATTATAAGAAGCGTGAAGGATTTGTCACCTAAAATCTGGTGGTTTTCTCTAAAATATTAAAGAAAGAAACGAAAGGGAGAAATAAATGCTCATACAAATCGCTGGTTTAGCATGAAAATCAGATTGAACAGGACGTTGGGGTTGTTTTCCGTCAATACTTAATGAAGAACGCGCCGTTTGTACAGAGCGCGAGGTGCGTTTCTCTCAATAATGCAAAGTCTTTCCTATAAATCGAACGGTCAAAATGACTGTCCGGTGAGGCAATGGGATTCAGCATTGCTTGAAATTTACATCTCTTCTTTTGACTGTATGAAAACGTGCCAAATATTCTCAACGTAATATTGCACTTTCTATACCAGCTTGTCCATTTCTGACTTTACCCTCTTTATGGTCATAATTCTGTTACATAAGTTACGGTTGTGTGCTTGACAAATATTTGGCTATCCAATTATCGCCGTTCGTGCTCCAATTAGAGAGTTGGGGTGAACCCCTTCGCGCTGCATTTTTCGTAGCGTTCACAATTCCTCAACGCGACGCTTATCAATGCGATAAAAAATTTAATAATTATTTCTTTATGCAGTAATGTAATCATGGCCGGCTGTAGCTCATACAGTGCTCCTATGCAATCTTCACATCTCAACCCCTTATCAATGTAAAAATGGACAAAAGGAGGGGATTAGAAAAAAAAAATAACTAGTCCAAGTACGACAGAATAATCTTATTAATGCATATTTTTAATTATAATAATAAGGAAATGCGAAATGCGTCTTTGAAAGGTGTCTCCGACGTCCCCTCTGTTGTGGCGCTTCTGTGCAAGGACACAGTTTGTCCTCCCCTAAAATCGGCCTTGGCACTAATGGTGTAAAATTAAATGTCAATACTGGAAAAGTTATTATCACATCGACTGTGTAATTATATTTTTAATACATAATATTGCGCTAATGCAATGAAAAATACGTAAGCAATAAAGACATTTTTTGATGAATTGCATATACACATAACTGAATTTTTAAAATTGAATATTTTAAACATTAAATTTTAATTTTATAGCAAACTGTGTGTAACAAAATTTGTACGTGATTTTTCTCTAGCGAAAATATTCAAGTGCCAATACTTTTCTGTAAGCTATAAACACGTGATCATAAGTGAATCGCATCTTCCGCGATCTTGGGTGTTGCTAGTTCTTATGAATTATTATATTATGTGCAGCGCGCAGAAAATTAGCTGTACTCTCTTGTATTTTATCGACGGCTATTGTCATAATTGCAGCCACTATGGAAACCAAAATTACATCTCGAATAGCTGCATTTTGCAAATCAAATCGACAGTTACATTGAAGAAGATAATCTTCCGCGGCAAATCCAACTAAATCTCTGAAAAGGAATCTCCTTGAATCACAGTCGATGCACATGAAGAGCTTTAATTGTGATTTTGCGAGCGAGAATAGAGCTGTTTCTATGGCGAACGGCGGCCACGGCGTTGCTGTTAACGGGGTAGGCGCTCCTGGCTCGGGTACTTTGTCGAGAGAGGAAAGACGTAGACGAAGAAGAGCTACCCAGAAATATCGAACCGCACACGCCACACGGTAAGTCTGAAGCGCAGAAATTTTCTGCAAGCACACAAATATCGGAGAAACCGGCAAAGCAAGCACGGAAATATAATTATTAAAATCGATTTTTTAAACAAAAACTATTGTTCGCGATATTTTTCGACTTCTTTCGCAATTATGTAATAAAACGTTACGACAATCTGACGTATTACAAACATTAGAAGCATTAGAAGCAATTTTTAAAGTCGAGAAAGTTATTTGAAACATTAAATTTCATTTCCATAATGCAACTCCCACACATACGATATTTTCTATGGTAAAAGCCTGCTTAAAATAGGTAATATTTACTTTGTCAGGGAAAGAGTCAGAGTGGAGGCCTTCAATTTGGCGTTTGCGGAATTACGAAAATTGCTGCCGACGCTGCCACCGGATAAGAAACTGTCGAAAATCGAAATTCTTCGGCTCGCAATCTGCTATATTGCTTATTTGAATCACGTTCTCCAAGCTTGAGCTTGCGCTTCTCAACTTGTGAGCACAGATAACAATTTCGGACAACTGAAGGCAATTTCTTTCATCAATTTTGTTAGTTTGATTTCCATTTTATTAGTTTCCGTGAAGTTGCATACGTTGCATGAGCTGCGGAGTTGCGCCGTTTATCGCGATATGTTCGATATTCTCGAATCTATCTGATTCTCGAGGATTAGTGGGCCACTTTGGGAAAATGGGGCAGCCCCTCATGGGATTTGTACCCCTCGGCATTCTTCCAAATTCTCCTACTACCCTCGACGTGTCCGATCGTCGCCGACTGTGCGAGTCGAGCTTAAGTGAAAAAGAATGGAATTGCCGATGAGGAGGTCAACTTCACGGATCGTCGCCTTCCATCCTTCGTTTCTCGGTTCTCTGCAAATGCGATTACACAACTCGATTGTTCGAGGATTCGAAATTGATTGTCCTTGCGAACGATACTGGCTTCTCGGTAAAAAGATTAACGAAAAATTAAAACTGAAGTAACTCATTCCTGTAAAACTAAATCTCATTTTTACAATCTTCAAAATTTTGTTTTTGATATTTATCTATTTTTCGAACGAGATAATGATTATGTATTCTTTTTCATAACATTTGATAATTTTGAATAGAAATGATTCTATTGTGTCAATCTTTCCTTTTCGACCTCGAATAAATAAATTGAAACGTACGCATACATAACATTGAACAAGAAATGACGTTTGCAAAGTTCGGTATCATTAGTTGATTAGATCATTTAAGTTTAGCAAAGGTCAACACTCTGTGTCAGACGTTATCATGCGAGTTCATCTTTCACACAAATATGTAAAAAGATTAATAGAAGTACAAAATGGACGAGAATGATAAATGGCAATTATCATACGCGTTTCTTCCGCGTATATGTTCGAATATTCTAGCCAGTAATTTATTAATCTGTTTATTTATTTACCATTAATCATTTTTTTGTTATTAATTAATTAATTTTTATTGTTTATAATTAATTTGTAATTAAGTCCTCATTTTACAAATGATGCCAGTTGTAACAACGTGTACGATATTTAATACGTATGATACACTTAATTTATATAGAGATCGATTATATGAGTCGTGCTCATCTATGTAGATATTATACACACACATTCAGCATGAAATAAATTATAAAGAAAGATAATTCCTATGTCTTTATATGCATCAACGTATCATAATCCTCGATTTTGCCTCACTCACACAGCTACTTTCTAGAAATATCTTCTAGAAACTTTCAAGGTAACGCGAGAGAATTCCCTGTAGAAATATAATTTTATATGAGATATTTGTTATAAAAGTTACATATTTTAAACATATATTTTTCTGATGTATTTTATAATTTATCAAGTTATATGATAAACATAACAATCCATTAATTCATGCCTCTCTTTCTTTCTACTTCTGATGTAATATCTGTATATAATTGTAACGACCATGCGCAATCTTCCTCCAGTAATTATGTCGTTATCGAGCCTGTGACAGCACCTTATAACGCTATACGCTATTAATGTGATAAAAGCGAGCGTTTGTACAACAAATTACTCATTGCTTTGGGAGCAGTTGATTGTTCTACACACACACATATATATATATCTTGCTTCAAAGACCGCGACTTGTTTACACATGTTTGTTAGTTTAGCGCACCTGTGTTTTTTATAATAATCGTTTATTAGGTTTCATGTGCTCATTCGTTGTACGACGAAGGTACATCACTGACTTGCAAACCACGAAGAAGAATGGGGCAATAATAAACGAAACAGTGAATACCGTATCGTTGTTTGATTCAATACGCGATTATTGAGCACTATTTGTGCACTGTTTATGCATTTGATTAATTTAATAAAGTATTGTGCATTGCATGATATTACACGTGCCTAAATTAATCTGGCATAAATATCAAATAAAAAGGACACACGTTTGTGTAAATACATTAGAATGTGCTTCATTAAGAGTGACGTAAAAATCGATTAATAGTTAATGATTTTACTTATATTTGTGAAATCTTGGATATCTGACTGAAGTTTAAAGAGCAAAGCATCAATTTTTTTTTACATTGAAATCGTACTGAGATAGGAAATTGTTGAAATGAAACTGTTCACACGTCCAAAATGTTTCACTGACGCGATAGCGTTGAACATAACTCTGCACCGTTTATTGGGAATACGTATTTTCGAATACCCTCACGGTCAACCAAGGCCTATACTCAGTCTAATATATCTTCTGCTTCTTTACGCTATACACTGCGGCGCATTCAACTTGCAAGATGAATATTATGCAGATATGACGTTACTGAAGCTGGAAACCTTCTTGTACAAAATACTGATGACTATCAATACTTGTTCTGTCCTCATCAAGTTAATACTAGGCTGGTGGTACACGAAGGTGAGTGAAATATACGCTATTTTACTATTGTAGCAATTGTAGTTGTCATTGTGCATATTGGATGTAATAGCAACAAGATTTTACTATCATAACTAGTTCTTCAGATTATTTTGTATATCGACAAAATGTGTTGTTGGCACAATGCATGAATTTTGCTGAGTATATTTGTTCGTAAAAATATATTAATTTGCTGCCAAAACAAAATAATTTATTTCTAACAAATATATTTTGCTAGTAGTGAAATTGTCGCTGCTAATACAAATTTGATGGCAAAATAAAGAGCAATTTGTTATAATAACTTGTGGATTTAGCAAAATTATTTTTAGCAAATCAAATTATTATCCGTAACATATAATAACTAACATATTTTGCTACGACAGCATAAAATTTACTATGCCAGCAAATTTTTCCTCCAAATAGATGAATATTACTTCGAGCCTTTTTGGCTCAAACTATATTTGTCAAAAAAATCCTGTACATATTTGTATCTTTCATAAAAAGGAATTTATTTATTTACAGAGCTTCGAAGTTTGCTACAAAAAAATTTCCGAAATCGATGAAACGTTACGACAAATTGGCTTGGTGATAAACTACGATATAATATACTTTGTGACAATTGGAGTGATGATTACCGGGCTTATATTCACTATTATTACGTCCGCTTTGGTTTCCATTCATCTGCATAACCGTGTGAATTTGTATACTTCGATCTATATGATAGTAGCGTATACGTATGCACTGTTCGTCAATGGCATTGTCATCTTCGATTTCTATATATTAGTGAAGTATGCAAGCTCCTTTATAAATAACTTAGAAATTTATTCCGAATCAAATTTTTGCATTAAATTATTCGCGAAGAAAATGAAAATCAGCATTGTATCGACGGACAAATATAATTTTACATAAAGTCAGAAATAAAATTATATCAATGTTTTTAAAAAGTGTTCATAAAAAATAAAATAGAAAAGAAAAATAAAATTTTTTTACGACAAATTGTAATATTTAATTTTATTTAAGTTGTTGTAACAAACAAATTATAATGTCGAATATCTTATAACAGATACTTACAAATGAGATTTGAATTGGTCAATCAATTCTTATACGAACACTCAGGAGTGTCATCGACCAAGAAGAGGAAATTAGGTTTTTTCGAAATGCAAGATTACGCTAATATTATGAACTGTGAGCAAAGAAAGCGTCTTTCCACGAAAATGTTATCCCGATGGCGTCGACAGACGCAGCCTCAAATAAACATTTCCGTGTTAGAAAAGTCAAGTACAGTCAAATCGCAGATTCAAACACAATTTCAGAAGGAACTGCAAAACCAGTCTCAAAGACACAATCCCGTAATGACGAAATGCGAAAAACGCAAACATCTATTGCAAACAATCAAGTAAGTATAAAAAATATCAAGTAAATTATAAAAAAAAAAAATGAAAACTCTATGAAAAGTACATTTTATAATATTTTTCTGAGTAAAAATTTCAAATATGCTCAAGAATTTGCCAATCAAATAATTAAAAGTATAATCTGTAACTTTTGTGGGATATAAATTAACTTTGTCGGGCAAAAAAAATTGTCTAAGTTTTTTTTTAAGAAATAAAAAAAATTTTTCATATAATATATGTATGTTATTAAGACAGGTGCATCTAGAGCTGTGCAAAATGTCGAAAACAATATGCACTATTCTCGGCGTACAGGCAGCTTTTGATGTAGCAGCGTCCATTATGTTTCTTACCGGAATGTTTTATAATTTATACAATCGATATGTTGTACAACAAGACAAATTTGTAAAAACTTTGACGGAGCAAACGGCTGTGTCGGTAATATTGTGTACCCTCACTGTTGTGAAAATCATCTTTTTAAGTCGCATTTGCAAAAAAGCGTCTGACGAGGTAATTTGTTTGCGCGTCATTATTTAACTTGAGATTTTTATATCAGTTATGTTTATTTCCAGGGAAATAAAACTATTGAGATTATTTATGGGATTTATGGATGCGAAGCGGATATCGATATGCGATGCGAGGTTTGTTTGAAACGTTAAATATATTATTGTCATAGTAATTTACATAATTAATTAATTTATATTTTTGATACATACAATACATCATTGACTAATTATACTTTTAATTATCATTTGTCACAGATTCAACAATTTGGTATTCAAATATTGCAAAGTCCAATCACATTCTCCGCCTTCGGTCTTTCTCTGGGCAACAATGTCATAAGTTTGGTTTGTATCAAATTATTGTATTGTACGTAAATTGTTGTTTTCGCATCGCCACGTCTTGCACTAAATAAGCGCAAAACGAGAATGGCGAGACTTCTATACGCGAGTTTTACTAATTTTCGAGGAAACAAAATATATTGGAAAAATGTTTTAATGTTTATCAGAAATCTAATCTTTCAAAATCCTATAATCAATTATGTATAGAAAATATAAAAAAATATAGTATACTAAACTGCATTTACTCCAATCAATTGCAATAGTACGTTATGCATATAAATAAAACTTGAGCACTATATTATACTTATTTGTGATTTTCTTCTTTATAGGGTTTGAGAACTGTCACAACTTATTTGGTTATTATGATACAAGTGAGCAACTCATTAGAATCAAACAAAGCCATTAAATTGGCAAATATTTAAACAATAAGTGATTACATTATAGAATTATTTTAATTATAAGAAAATTAATAAATTGTATCAGTAAAAATAAAAAATGGAAAATAAAGTTATATATAAAATACTTCACGAATTCTTTTACAATTTTGCAAACTTTACAGTCACATTTTACACATTGTATTTGTAATAATTGTCAATACATGTCAATTACACAAGATTAGTATAAGAATATGCACTTCTTCGTGTTTTGTTGTCGTAAATTTTGCAGATAAACAATGTTTAGAAATAGAAATAATAACCAATGATGAAGAAGACAATAATTAATTATTATTGATTAATACACAAAGAATGTTCCGGATACAATTTCAGATCCTTTTCAGCTTAAAAACCTACATAGAAAAAAGAGAAAGGTTTGAGTTATGCGAAAAATATAAAAAAATATATAATAAAAAGGATTAATTTAAATAATTAATAGAATTAACAAAATTAAACTTACTGAGCACGCGTACTGAGCACTGATCACTACGACATATCAGAGCAAACAAATAATTAATATTTAATATATATGATTATTTAACTAATGTATAATACAAAAATAAATATAATTTTTAATTAATAGATATAATATTTTTTCAGGATGAAAATTAATCTACAGTTATGAGTGTTGTAATTTACGAATAAACCTTAATTATTATATTTCGATCTTTTTACAGTTTAGTTTACTTATCCTTTTTTCGATAGCAATTTTAATTTAGAGAAATTAAATGTAAAGAATAAAGAAATGAATGAATGGAGAAAAGGCAATACGATATAATAATAATTCTTAGAAAAACTTGTATGACATATATATTGCTGTTTAATTTTCTTGACGTAAAATTATTTATTGCAATGTCAACTACGATAAGAGGTGCTAGGCATAAAAGTATTACGCTTCATATAAGCGTACTTGAAATGTAATGTGTCGATTATTACGTACTATATACTTTGTTCCATCTTCATGTTCATTATTCTCATTTCCCTTTATTATAATATTATAACGTTAGTGGCATTAACGAGATCCATACCGAAGCGTACGATTTTTCCAACTTACAGTTCTTAACAATACACTCAATAACTCAATATATGATGATAATTAATTGAATTGTTAAATATAAAGTAAAATATATAGCTTGCAATAGTATTAAATATAGAATTGATTTTCCAGTAGTATATTAAAATAATTTTGTACAATATAAAATCTACTAAAATTTTCGTACATTTTGATCTTTTACCTGACAACTATGTTAAGTAATATAATCTTGCATTTTTAATCCTCTTAGCACCATTAATAAGATTCTTGGCTTGCTACCTCGCACAATATCGATCTCCCCGATGAAGTCCCTTGGGCATTCATCCATTACAAGATCACAGGCACCCGATATATTCGTCGCTTATTTCACACCACACGCTTTGTCATCATCTAAATTTATCATCATTTCTCGCACAACACATACACACCGCCGTTGTATCAATAATTGTCGTCACACTTTATTTTAGTGCCACGTACAAATGAACATCACTGATGAGACTCGTCGTGTGTCATGAAAATAAAATAGAAGAAGATTTGATAATTGTGCGCAAAGTTAAATTCTCTCTTTAAAAATAACTTGTCAATAATTTCTCAAAATAAGTTCTCGTCGATGGTATTTTAATTTATACATTTTTCACAGAGATGTCATTTAACGTCTAGACATTCTGTGAAAAATGGAATTTGAAAAATAGCGAGAAACACAACGTATTCATAGAAATGAAAAACACTCTACGAGACATGACAAAGGTTCTTCATGCGACGCTTGCGGGCCAATATCGATCACAACTCGAACGAATCCTTTGGGACATGGACTCGCAACGCGAGATATCGCGGTCTGCTTAGGTCGCGCGCTTACATTCGCCGCCACCTGTTCGGCCATCACGTCCACCTTCAGTCGACTTCTACTACTTAGCGGGGTGGCATTTAGCATTACGCTGTCTGCACGTGGAACACGCCAAGTGACGTAGCCACGATAGTCATCGTTCATTTCACAGCTACGAGAAAGTGCGCGCACGCTTACGTGTGTGTGTGTGTGTCTGTATACGCGTATACGTGCGAAGAAGGGTGGTTTAAAGCCTTGGTTCGTTTAAGCCAGCCAGAAGTTTTCGCCCGTCTGCGACGAAGATGTTTCAACCGAAGACTATGCACGAAATGATCAAGCCGCTGATCGTGGCAAACTTCGTCCTCGGGATGGGAGTTTGGTCCAAGTCGCGGCAAAAAATCTGGAGCGTCGCGTACTCGTTGTTCTGCCTGGTGAGCTATTGCGTTCTGATGAAATTGACAATCGATTATCTGCAGGTCTATTACTTGAACAAGGTGCACCCGCTCGGCAATGTCACGTTTAAAGCGATCTTCTACGCCAACATCTGCCTGGCGTTGTGCCTTGTCCCCAGCGGATGGTGGAGGAGGAAGGTAATTTTATCTCGGAAAGTAGAATAGAAAAGAATTGTAAAATCTAAATTGTAACAAAAATCAAAAGGAGAGCCACAATGCAAGTTCTTCGTGCGAAGGTTACTGTATTCTCATTTAAAATTATTTAGAAACGTTTCTGCCTGACATCAGGCCTTCCTCAGTGTACAATATTGACGAAAGAATCGCACGCAGTAATTATAAAAATAAAAAGATGTGGATGATATATTTCGAATCCATTTCGCTGAAATATTGTTCGGATCATTAAAATAAATTGTTAATATTGTGATAAAGACATGTTACAAGCAAAACCATCTGTCCAGAAGAAACAAGATGGAAGAGTGAATAACTATTAAAACTTATCAGTCAAAAGTTAAAATGTTAATTTTTATAATTGCGTGCGATTCTTTCGTCAATATTGTACACTGAGGAAGGCCTGATGTCAGGCAGAAACGTTTGTAAATAATTTTAAATGAGAATACAGTAAACTTCGCACGAAGAATTTGCATTGTGGCTCTTTACGCTTTTTTTGATTTTTATTTGATTTTGTCAATCACTTGAGCCTTTCACATTATTTATTCTAAATTGTAACGTCATGAATGCTTAACCAACTTCAACTCTAATTTGAGATTCAATTCTAAAATTCGAAATAAAGGTTGTAATTAACGTAAACAATTGGCTGGCGTTTGGCAGCAGATTTCTCCTCGAATGGAAATCTGTACGCGGACGGAAATTTTATTTGTTTTCTATTATGGGCTAATAAGATGATACCGCCTTTGCTTGCGTAGCACATGAAGGCGGCGATGATGCGTATCACGATGTGTGAGAAAACTATGGAGCAAATGGGAATACAGAAGAACTATCGGAAATTTTACTTGGATCAGCTTTACGCGCTGGTGTTCGTCGCGGTGGTGTTTGTCGTATTTGCTGCCATCAATTACGAAGGAATGTTTACGCAGGAGACACCCTTGCATATCAAAATCATCCTTGTGCTCGCTGTACATTATCCCGTCGGCTTGCTCTACGTGAGCGACGTGTCGTTTCTGCATTGGGTCAGGTAACGATAATTTTGCGTGAACGAGATAATGAAGCTTCGTTAATTACAATAACACGAAAATCTATTTGGCTACGGCTTAGTTTAATTTTCACGATTCTATCTACTTGTTCGCATATGCGAGAGAAATTTTAGCATTAATTTGCAATAATTCTAGTTTTTTATTTATTTTTGAGCGTACATTGTTCATAAAATTATTAGTTGTTGGTGACTTTTTAGTAGTAGATAAATTATTGTGAATTATATATTATAAAAGAAATGTAGAAAAAAATCGATTCCTTCTTGTTTGTTTTCTGGCCACGGATATGCCGTAAAAATATTTAAAGGTACTCGAAGATTCGATTCGAGCAGTTAAACAATCTGCTACAACGCATGCTAACGACCACTCCCGATTCGCCGCAGCACAAGAGAGTGCTGAAAATGAAGGACGAATGGAATAAGACTTTTATCACATCGGCGACGCAACAGGATAGCAGATCAAAAGATAACACCGACACAATGAGAGCCGTCAAGTGAGATTTTTTATGCTGCATGCATAAATAAATAAATTTGTATAAATAAATTTTGCATAAATAAATTTATGATGCATGCATAAATAAAAGCTTTTGTAATATAAATTAGGCTTTGCATGCATGCATGAGCATGGCACATTACGAACTCATTACTCGGAATTTGTTTAACGTATTAATGAAGCGTTGACGTCAATTCCATTTCGCGATCTATTGCGCATATTTATTTCTTAAAAATAAATCTCTGGTAAATAATATAATGCTTATCACGTTATCAGTCTACTTGCTAACATAATAGAGGAAAGGCACCAAAACCCCGACATATTATTTTGTTAGTTATTTCTTAGTTAAAAACTGATTATTTCTTAGTTAAAAACACATTTTCTTTTTGTGTACAAGGCGTCTATAAAAAATTAGCTGTAATTCAATTCTTTCTTTTTGAAACAAAATTTATGTTAATTTATATTAATAAATCACCCACTGCAGAGTATGTCGGGGTTTGCAATACACTCTAATTAAATTTTCCAAAACGCACCGTGAAAAAAACAATAAAAGCAAAACTAAAATACTTTTAGAAAACTACAAGCATGTAGAATAATTTAACATTATCAAAACACATAATTACTGTTATTTAGATTACATAATTCTCCAAAAAAATTATAAAAACAAAATTTTTGAACTTTACAAACTTTATACGAACGATATAAACTGATTTGATTTAGCATATAAATTAATAAGAAATGTATAAACTATGGATTTTTTAAATGATTTAACTAACTAAATAGATCACATTTATATTAATTTTGATAAAATGTAATTTAATTTTTGAGAAATAGGAGTGTATATGTCATTTTAAAAAACCTATGACAGTTTTGGCGCAATTTCTCTATAATTTTAAGCTACCCGACATAAATAGTATAAAATGTAAACTTGATCGCGTAAAAGAAGTTCAAAACTACAATTGTGCTGATTAAATTAAACATCAAGTCATTAACGGTGTGTCAAATTCAACTCGAAACGCTCCATACTATTCCGATATTACTTAACAACATCTCTATTTTTCATAACAATGGAATAATTCCATGGCAACGCATTTTAATGTGATCTTTTATAATAACGATCTTCCGATAACGCACTTTTTCAACACAATTTGACTGTCACTAACTGACGATGGTGTATCTTTTGCGTGTCGACCGAAGGCAAGTACATCTGGAATTAATCAAGTCGACTAGGAGCACGAATGAAGCGTACGGCATACAGATTCTTTTTTCCATGACAATATCCTTTGTATTCATCACTAGTCTTCTTTACTATGCCTACTCGATTATATGGGTGAATATGAATGCGGAGATGTTCCGACGAGAGATGATACCGCTTGTCGGCTGGATTCTATTCTACGCGTCGAAAGTCCTTATCATAAATCACACGTGCGCTTTGGCGAGTATCGAGGTAAGCGCACCGAAAATTACGAACAGTATTAAAATGCATTTCTTGACATTTCTTAACGCAGCGCTTGAGCCATTTGCAGGCCGCAAACACGGGTGATATAATTTGCGAACTGTACGAGCCATCCACTAGCAAAGAATTTCGCGCCGAGGCAAGCCCATTGTCTTGTATTAATTTGATAACACGATCAAATAAAAAGACGAAATAGAAATTACAATATTACAATCTTTTCAGATACGAGATTTCACTTTGCAACTAATACAAAATCCGTTAGTTTTCACCGCGTGTGGATTTTCAATTTGGATCATACATTTATTCACGGGGTAAGCTGTAGATTTTTTTATCTCCTATTAATATCTATAAAATATATAATATTGTTTTTGTTGCAAAACGAAATTTATTGACAGGTTTATTGAATTTTATACACTCTACTCGCGCGCTCTGTCGATCGCGTGAACTATCTTTTGTGTGTGTTAGTTGACCTACTTCTCAATATTCCTCTCTTCTAATAACAATTTATTCTAATGAGTTACTTTTACCTTTTGTCTACTTGACTATTCTGCTTTTACGTTTAAAATTTTAGACCTTATAATATTACAATCTACAGATTAAGGTACAATTTGATTTAGAATTTCATAAGTTATTAAAAAAAGAGAGTAAAAGGAAATGAAAAAAAAAACATTAATAAAAAAATACAATCAAAATTCAGATTAAACTTTTTCTTAGGTCATTGGTTCAGTCACCACGTATCTTGTGATTCTTATTCAAGTCGGAGATCTACAAAAAGGAAATTCTACTCTACTGAATAACGGAACAAACTTTACTACATTTAACACTCTTACAACTGATATTTATCAATAAAGATAAATTTCGTGTGTGTTATTTTTTATTGAATCATATACATTTTAACAATCGAGAATTTGTGCGATCATCTTCATAAATACATATATATTTTGTGTGCATTTGTAATGCAAAATATCGGAATACTTGTTCCTGTTCATTAAGTGTTGAATTTTTTATGCACGGGAAATATATTAACAAATAAAAGTATTATTTAATAAAGTGTATATTATCTTCTATAAACGATTGGTTTTCGTCTTCGATCCTTTATCGACTTCTTTAAAATGATATAATTGTATCCTGAGAAATAAAACATAAATTTATACAGCTGAATTTGTTCGCGATTGCAGCTGCAGGAGATTGCGCGATTAATTATCCGATCAGTTAACTAGAGTTCGAGTGCCGGATATATTCTCGCCGACAATTTTCCGCCAATTAGAACGCCGATAAGGATATTGCGTCAATTACACTACCCTAAGCGCTCTCACCCTGCTCAGCTACTATCCCATATGGAGGCGTCAGCCCGTGAAATTCGGTCCTCCCGTAATTCAATAGCGTCCAACTCGGTTAAAGCGGCCGAACTCAGCTTCTTATTCTTAATCAATTACACATGCGATTCGCCGCGTGAAATTTTTTTCTTCGAATTTTACGAAAATTCTTCCCAGCATTTTTAAATGCGAAGAAGAAAAACTATCGTATACATATTTCAGATATTATAATGGAGCAGTTTTGCCGTCAAAATTTTTTATGTAAATTTGAATTCTTACAGTGAAAGAAAAATCAGTTGAAACAACTCGAATCGTTCTTGCATATGGCGAGCTAACAGTTCTAATTCTTTGAACAGAATTTTGGTATTCTTCTATCTTGTTTGTTGATCTGACTTGATTGTAGTTATTGCAACTAAATTCTGTTCAAACTCTGAGACTTGCTTACTCAATTTTTTTTCAGCGTAGCAAATTACTTGCACTTTTATTTTAAGAAACAACTGGAAAATTATAAATTTCCTAATTAAATTTGAAAATATTATACAAGAAGTAATAATTTTTATGTAAAGTTCGATTTTTGTTACACGGACATGATTCTTATTATTTCATCAAAGTTAATTGCACATGTAAAAAGTCATCATCTGATCAAACCGGATAAAATAATAAGAATCATGTTTCTTGTAAATCTGACGATTTACTTGCATAATTAGTTTTATGTTACTTAAATCTGTCACTAGTTTGTATATCACCCGTTTTAGTATCGTAGTGATTGTTATGTATTTTATTTTTATTGCTTGTTTGTTTATTTACAGTGTCAATTCTTATATGTTGCAAATTCTCCTTCTTCTTTGTTAACATTCTTTATTTATTCAGCCTCTTCTTATCTTCATCTTCGGATATATCTTCGACAGATTCGTCGTCAAAGAATTTAGATTTAATTTCCAAAGAGTAATTTTGGGGAATCCTTTGTGGCCAATATTGTGATACGTTCGAGATGCGACTAGTAATAAAAATTTTATTAATTATATAAAATTCTGGCTCAAATTGATTCAAAGTAGCATCATTTAATTGCTGGACTGTCTTCATAATTCTTCTCTTTTCTTTTTAAATTTCGAATAATATTCTTTAAAGAACCGATAATCATTCGAGTTACTGTCTTTATTTGAATTTGATAAAAGTGAATCTGATTTAACGGCAGGTATATATAACTTTATATAGCATCCTTGGTCAGTCGAGTTGACTATTACAGTGGGTTTATATACAACTTCAGATTGTTGAGAATTGCTGCATTCCTGAATATCGTTAAATCATGATTTAGTCCTTTTCGGCGAGGGTTTACGTTTCACAGCTGTTCTACTCTCTCTGGTCGACATATACGAGATTACAGGTATGTGCTGTTTCTTCAGTTTAGCTATCGATGTTAGATTGTAAACACACACAACTGGTCTTGTAATAGAATTGCAATATGCTTTTCTATATATGGTGTCGCATTGTGTGCAAAAGTAACAGAACCGGAGACAAGAGTCCTTTACTTGAGTCCTTTTATTACTTAAAATACAATGTTGTGCGAAATTTTCCTGATTCACAAGTTTTTCGCAGATAAATGTTTTTTCTGTCACTAAATGTTAGACCATATTTGAAGGCACAATATCAGTGTGCTTGTCTCGCTGTTTAGGCTTCCACTACCTCAGCTGTGTTTTCTGCGTCTGTCAAACGCAATCATCTCTATAAATTTTTCACGATGGATGAATATATTGCCATTCTCGCAATATGTATGCCGCGATTATATGATCATCACGTTCTGATCGAATCATGCAGCATCGATAATATGATTCGAAATCAATCGTTTAGCAATTCTTGATGTGTGATGATCGCAAAAGTCAAACAATTTGTTTTTAATAAATATTATATATTTTTAATATATTTATATTATATGTTTTTAATAAATATTAAATAATAATATAAATATTTATATAGATTTCTTCAGAGTATAACAACAGAAAGGATGATAACTGTATTTCAATAGCATAAAAAGCATTTAAATAATCTAAAGTATACGAGAAAAAGGGCACACATTTCCGTTCTACAGTTCATCATCTATTGTTTTATTAACAATTATTTAAAACATTTCTTTCTGCTTAAATCTTTTATCAGAGTGTTGTAAATCATAAAGACATTTCTCTTTTTCATTTTTGAGTTCAAATCTTTCTTTGACAAAGAAGACTTACTTGTAAGTTAACGAAATGCAATTTAATAAGTGCATTATAGTAATAATTATAGTAATAATGCACTTATAGTGATAAATATGATACCGTGCGACCAATTTTAAAGCCGAACAAAGATAAACTATACACCGTTGCTCGATGAGAATATGAAACACGTATTATCTAACTCGAGAAATGTATGGCACGTGTTATTTGCGATGGAATTGTATATCCGGATTTCTCAACACAATTATCTTGCGACCGGGATTGTTATCGTCGACTACTTCTACGATGCCATGCCTGGATATGTTAAGGATAATCTTCCTCGTCGGCAAGTTCCCTGTTTAGCAACTAAATCTTTCGCTGTTCATTGTATTTATTATATTGAGAAATCATATTGCTCTTCGCGTATATTTATATTGCAAAATTGCTGCACAAACTTTATGCAACACAAGTTCATATTTAAGAATTAAGATACTAATGTTTTTCTTTTCAAATGAATGATCCCAGCAAACACAAAACATTGCAGTAACATTGCGGCAATGTTGCAACATTACAGCAATATTGCAACATTGCCACAATGTTGCTGCAATGTTCTGCGTTTGCTGGGATGTATTAAGCGCATACGATGCATAATCTATTAGGAAACATATTCGAATGTACGCATTTGGAGAACGGTGGGGATGTATAGGGTGAGGTGGGAAGGAATGGGAGGGAGGGAGGGGCGCACGTTTACATCGAGGATAACATTAATTGGGAATTAAGGGCGCGAACGCCGGTGGCTGTCAGGAGCCACCTGCTACTACCGTACTCTCGTCAGGCTAAGGGGATTGATTTATTATACTCGGGGGAAAAAGATGGTTTTAGGAACGGATCGGTCCGAACGGATCAAACCAATGCCATTGTTCTCCCTCGTTAAATAAAATTCTCAACAGACAACACGAATACATTGTTATACTTTTTTTCTGCAACAGCTCTTCTCTTTTGGTAAGATTAATTTTCTTTTTAAATTATACACTTTTTCTTAAACTATAATCACGTATATTACGTATATTGATGATTAATTTGCTCACCTTATAGCATATAAAAAGACCGTTACAAATAGTATAACATTAAAAAACGTACGTCGATTTAGAGACAAAATTTCTCGAAAGGTATTAAAAATTTTTGTACACGTTTCAAAAGTATGCAATTTTTACGTTTCTACTTATTTCAATTTTTAATAGATTGTATTAAAATATATTTTTCTGTAAACATCAACTAAGACAATAAAACAACTGTAATAACAATCTTTATATAGAAAATATTCGCTTGCTATTGTCTGTTGTCATTTTTAACAATGAGCCTATTAACAACCAGCATTCTATTGTGAGACAAAAATTTTATAATATAAATAAAAGAAAATTGTCACTGGTATAATCATTTTTTCAACTTTTCAGAAGCAATTTTCGAGTTTTCAAATGTATTACAAATTTTCCAGAAACATAGTTACATATTGCTGGAAAATTAATCTAAGCGTTTAAAAAAAAAAATGGTATTCAACTGAAATTGTTTATATAAATTTTTAATCTTTCGAATTAAAAGAAAAAAAAACGAAGAACTCGGCAATCTGTAACATACGGATCAATGGAGTGTTTTCTCTCGAGCAAAGCATACGGGCTGGATTAGAGATGGAAATTGTATAAAGGCAAACACAAACAGCAGCCAACAATCCTAATAATCCGCAAACATCATTTATCATCTGAAAGCGGATCCGCCCTAACCCGAGACCACTCCTTCTCGAGGGCGCGCGCAGTCGCCGTGACTGTCTCTTTCCCATTTCGTATGTGTGCGTATACTTACATCTTTACCACAGCTTTTTACCCTCCAACTACTTCTATGATTACGTGTACAATCGGCACATCCATCTAATTTTTTCACTAAGATTCTATGACACGATCAGGGATATGAAAATAATAGAGAGAAGGATTGGAGAAGTAAAAGAAAACTTTTAGATGTAATTAACTATTATTACGACAGATTGTAATTTGCTACTGAAGATAATCGCAGGGCGATCGAAACGTTTAACTAATAAAGGATGATATTACATCATTCCTGAGAAAAAAGAAGTTTTCTTTCTTTTTTATCACAGATCCATATTGGCTCTGGATCTCCTAATTCCCTGAATTGTATTAAAAGAAACCTATTATACTCGATTAAAGCAGTATATAGAATTGAAAACATTATGATTTAGATTTAAAATTCTTTATTGTGTCTCAACAAATTATTCATTTTCTTTGCGCTTATTCCATATGTCTTTAATCTTTTCACATTCAAAGACATCATTGGATGGGCATTGCCTAATTTTCTATTCTTCATTTTATTCAATTGAGTATTCTTTCTCTTTTTCTTCTGAACAGTTTCGTGTTCACCAATAGGCGTTACCTCTTGATTGTGCTTTTTTACATTAATATTATCCATTCTAGAATTTTTCTTTTTTTCATTACCCGTCTTTCTCTTCTTAGGACTCGCAGCGTCTTCGTCATTGTTTGATACATTTTCTCGTTTCAGCTTTTTGTCCATATTTACCCCATCTTTCTCTTGAATGCATTTATCTTGCTTTTCATCGTTATTGTTATTAGAGAAATTATGTATCTCGTTGTTTTCTGTAATGTCCATGATCTTTTCTTTAGAAACAAGATCAATATTAGTAGATTTGACATTAAGGTTGCTGTGTTTATTCTTCTTGCGTTTACGCTTCTTCCTGCTAGTATCAGTTCGCTCAACGGTAAGTTGGTCTTTTTCGTCTTTTTCCTTTTCTTCCGGTTTTTCACTAAATGTATAGAAATGTAATTAATGTGCGATATAATTAATAATGTATGCATTCCTAATCTGATATATAATACTTACGCATATAAACTCTTCAAAATTTTTCGCTTCAGTGCTTCATTCTTTGCTTTCTCCTTGTAAATCTGAATCTCATTCTTCTCTACATGTTCTAATTTATGCTTAAGAGCTTTTTTTAAAGGACACCATTTGTTCAATTCCCTATCGTCAGCCGTCAAAATCTTAAAAAAATTAAAAATTGCAAAAACTGTTATTACAATTTTCTTTTGTGGCACATTTATAACACTAATAACAATCTTACACAAATAATACTTACTTCCTCAACACTTAACCCATAATCATTTGCTATTACTTTCCTATATTTAAATCTACAGGGTAAATCTCCAATCATATCCTCATAATCTAACGAGTAATATTGATCGAAGTATCTCTCGTAGGAGGGAAATTGTTTGGGATCAAATTTTGGCTTGTCTTTTGCTATAAGCTCCGCAAATTTACTGCGTCTCCTTCCTTTCCTCTTTTTCTTACTTTCAACAAGTTTGGATTGCAAAGCTTGATTTTCATCATAATCTGCATCCATCTGTAACCAAGAGACAATCAGTAAAATTTGTGTACAAAATATATTGACAAGTATATAATAGACTGTTATAATAAACACAACTATTGGTAGACTATAATAAGCACATTGAAATCTGTGTCTTCACAATGAGGTTCTTCGTATGGTGCAGCTTTTGTGTCAATTTGGTCCGCAATCGGATCATAATTGTCCCATGGGAGTTCGATTTCCAATTCTTCATCGATCTCTGGAAATTCTGGCTTCTGATTTTCCTCTTCGCCAGCATAGTATTCATCGTTAAAAAGTTCTTTCATCGTTCTGTCGTGTTTATTTGGATCAAAATCGGTATCAAAATCAATATTATCAAAACGCATATCATCATTTCCTACAATTAGCATCAATACAGAATTAGACGAAAGTAATTGGATAATTTTTTATGTCAGCGTTACAAATGTTAGAATGTTTAGAAATTGAAAAAATCATATTACCTGTGATTTCCTTTAACTTGTCTATCTTTTCTTCTATTTCTTTTCTCTTCAACGCCTTCAATTGCTTTAGTTCTTCCTTCTTCTGCTGTTTCTCTTTCTCTTTTCTTTCCCTAACTTCTGCTCTCTTTTGAGATCTGCGTGTATCTTTTTTTCGCATTGAGTTTTCCATTGTTCGCGGATATCTTAAAAAAAAAAGTAAATGTCACGAATAAATAAAAAAGATAGTAGCGTATTTGGTAATTAATATTTTGTGCACAGAATAATTTGTACCTCTTGATAAATTCTTGATCAGGTTCTTCAAATCTAAAGTTATATTTGCGTTCAAATTCTTCCTGGTTTTGAATAGTCCTTTCATCCTCTGACAAGTTTTCATCACTATCATGAGCAACATGATTATATTCCAGATCCACATCGTAAGATTCCTTATCCATATACTTGTTATTTAGAATATAATCTCTCAAGAACTTCTCACGTGAATCTAAATTAGGATCTGTCCAGTAATCACGCAACGGTTTAAAGACTTCTTGATCTTGAGGATCTATTTGCACCTGTTCACCTTTCAACCATTGCTTGTAGGATTCCTCTTCCTAAACAAGTGATATAACAGTATTAGAATAAAATATATAATATTAAAAGATAACTTAATGATAAGTTTATCATCTAATATAAAAGATTACATTAAAGAATTAAAAATATAATAATAAGTGCATACCTTGTGATTTTCATCTTTTGTTTTTTCCTTTATTTTCAGAAGATCAGTTTCATCATCCCCATCTTCATCTTTCAGAACGTTTCTAAAACTATCTTTTAACTGTTTCTGTTCCTCTACATAAGTGAGCGTTTTATATTTAGCTTTTTCATTTGTACTATTTTCATCTTCACTGCTACTAAAATGTCCATCTTTTTCCAGTATAATTTTACGTTCATAGTCTCTTAAAGAGACAGCCTTTTCCTTCTTGTTCTTTTCTTTTGCTTTAATATCTTCTGATATTTCAGGTTTGACAGTGTGGCTGAAGAACTTAACTTTTTTATCATATATACATGGATCCTCGTTTTTCAAATAAGCTAAAGTTATAAGAAACTCTTTATCAAATTGTGGATCTTGGATCTAAAAAGTTATACATGTAATTAATATTGATGATTAATTCACATTGCTATAATTAGTTAAACTTATTATGAAACAAGAAAAAATTAAAATAAATATCATTTTTTATTAACATACAATTTCTTCTTCGTCTGAAGAACTGCTATCACTTGAATCTGCACCTGATACTGTAGCACTCTCTCCATATCTAGCTTTTACTAAAAAATGTACAAAAATAAGAAAAAAATATATTTTTTATTTAGCGTATACAGTAGATCAGAGATGCCTAATCAATCAATCAAGACGTGTTTTTTCGATAGATCTTCACATTTTAATTTTTATTTTATTTGATTCTATTATAAAACTTATATTTGTAATTTTAATATTTATTTTGTTCCTATTAATTTGTTTACACTTAGTTTATGTCTATTGATATATTTAATAAACATTGAAATCACATTCAAATTTTGTATTTTTCTCCCACACATGAATAGATTACGAGATTGCTCTATATAAAAAAAAATAGCTTGCATGTACAAAAAGATTGGGCAGCTCTGCAGTAAATCCTTAATTTTAGAACTTAATTTTATTATACATAATAATTGTATAATTTGATTATTGAATATATAATTAAATAAGTTAAATAATTGTGTAAATTATACAAGTACAAATTATTACAAGTTTTGTTCTTGTTATCAAATTATAATAGAGAAGTTTGCAAATAGGTTAGATTCACTCACGTTTATGCAGTTCTTCTTTTGTCGAAAATTATCATAAATGTTAGCGTAAACTGCATTTATTTTTAATTCCCCGTCGGAGTCCGAATTATTATCGTTGAATAATGTCGACATGTTATTTACATTTAAAAAGTAAATTACAAAAAGTAAATTAAAAAGCGATTATAAAACCACGCGAAACACACATGAAACAGCCGCTAGCAGCCATTTAATAGGTTAATTCATTTTAGGCTGTGTTCCGAAATTCACAGTCAGTATTGGAAATCTATAGTTTACGTAACGTATATTGTAGATATAACACAGGCAGAGAACGCACAATTCAATAGAATTGCTACCTCTTTTCAACTCGGTTAGGAGGAGACTTCTGCGAACGTCATGAGCAGTCTATACTTACTACATCTATGATTGCATGTAACATGGTGTGGCACTACGTACATGATACGTGTATGTGACATAACCTTCACTGATTTTTCGTTATCATGCAATATTTTTTGCGTTTGACGATGTAAAGTGTTCCTAGAATTTTATAAACAACGTGACATTTGATAAATATCGTGTAGTGAACACTACTGCACGATGAATCTAAGTAAAACGGAGAAATTAATAGCTGCTAAGAAAAAGGTAACATGACGGATGAGGAATCATTGACATTCTCAAAGCTGTCGCATTGTCGTATATAATTGACGTATAGATTAATATGTAACGTGATGTAAAAACATTTATTATTGTTAAGAAAACACTTTCACTCTGCAAAATTAACCAAGTTTTATTGTACTTTTTATCATAAAGTTTGTTTTATTACAAACGTTTATATTTTACTCTGATTATTTTTATGAACAAACAAGTAATGTGAAAATCTTGAAATATTACAAGCTGTTAAAATACAGAATAAAAATAGCTTACTTTAATTAGTAATATTAGTAAAAATGTTGGATTTAATATTTTACTTGTTATTTGATTTTAATGTAATTCTAGTTTTATGCAATTTTTATTGCAGCTAAAAGAATTCCAGCTTCAAAAAAAATTGCAAGCACAAGAGATCTCGTGCAAGCAACAAAATATGGATATAATGGATGAATCCATATCACAGGTAATTATTTGCTTGTAATATAAGTGTGATAATATATTTCAAAGATAAATTTGTATATTCTATATTTTTCAAATTTTATATTTTCTGCATTGTAATATGAACTTACAATCTGCTTTAATAACTTAATTAATTAAAATAAAATAATTTAATTAATAACAATAATATTAATTTTTATACTAAAATAATATTGTACAATTAAGATTTAGGTTTCAGTATATAATAAAAATATTAATATAAAATAATGTGCTTTGTAGTGCCAAACAAGTTGCCAAAATTTTGAAGTGAATAAATTTTGCGATCAGAATAAGCAATATGAAATGGAACACACAGAGAACTTAATCCAGTCTAATAAACATCTGGATGATATAAACATTACAGACGAAGCAGAAAATGTATTAAATCTTAGTGACACTAATATTTCAATAAGTGCAACCAAAAGTAAAATAGCAAGTAGTAGTGACATAACGGAAAAGAACATTCCCATTTTGGAAAGTTGTGCAGAAGATACTATATTGTATGAAACTAATAATAAAAATACCACAAATTTGTATCTTCAGCCAGATTCACATTTAATAGAAAACGATGGAAAATATAATTTGAATAGTGCACCATTGAATGGATCATCAACAATGCAAAAAGAACATTTATTAGAAATGGCCTCAGAAGTTGCTAATGTGCTCACTGATACAGATCACACTGAACCAACTTTGTTCGATCTTGATCTAAAGTGTCGCAATCAATTTTTAAGTACTTGCTTAGAAGAGCAAAAACAACTTGTAAATGATTTACATATTCAAGTTAGCCGTTATGTGAGTATAGTTTAATCCACTGTAACTCTTATACTTATATGTTATCTAATCTTATTATTGTTATGGAAATAAAATAGAGTAGCAGAGTGGCTGAACTGGAAGGGATTCTCGCTACAAAGGATTCTGAGTTTGAAGCCAAATTCATTCGCGAAATAAGTCCCCTAAAGGAGCAAATACAAGTTCATGCGCAGACTACTGGCATTTTGATAGCAGAAAAGGCAGAGCTCACAGCAGCTTTAGAACAGAATCAGAAGATTGCAAGACAATACTCAGGTTAATATATCTATATATAAAATATCTAAATGTATAAAATTTATGCTGAAAATATTGAAAATATTTGTAATGGTTGTTGTAATTAAATGTCTTCTATTTAGAAGAGTTAGAAGAAACGAATGGAAAACTGAAACATAGTCAATTTCGTATTAATGAGCTCGAAAAAGAATTAACTCAAACAAAGAGTAGTTCTACGGACACTCAGAAAAATGTTCAACATATACAACAAGCCTATGATGATCTTGAAAAGAAATATTATGAACTCAGGTATTACAGCATAAAATATATCATGCACACATGTATGCGTGCATGCATGCGCACGCGTGTATGTTTAGTACAGATTTATACAAAATTCTCAATTTATTTACAGAAAAGAAAAGGAAGATTTAGAATTAGAAACATCAGAATTGAAACAAAAATTAAATTTAAAGAATACCGAATTTATTAGCTTGCAACAAGAATTTCAAGAAAAAGCAGCCTTACTTTCCTTAAATGAATTAAGAATACAACAGGTAATTCTACATCACTCAAGATTGTGATCTTATCTATTTAAGATTGTCATTTTAAAATGGCTGATAAAACGGAAATCATTTTGTCGCAGTTGACCGATACATCACAAACATTAGAATCTCAGCATCAAACAGCAACGGTAATGGAACAACAATTGACTCAAATGAGGGAAACTTTGAAGTTGGTGAGTAATGAAAAGGATGAAGCTAGCAGACAATATCAGAATTATGTACGACAATTGGACATGCAACAAGCAAAACTGCTTAATGAAGTGCGTATAAATATTCATATTGATTTGCTCATAGAAATATAATTACGGAAATGAGCATATTTAAATAATTGCAGCTTGAAAATGAAAGAAAAGCAATCAGTGATTTAGAAAGCAGAGAGAAAACTTATGTACAACATTTATCGGAATTGGAACAACAACTACAACATGAAAGAGAGAAAAATGAAACTTTACTGCCACTACAAGCACATAATGATGAGATAAGTAATTTAAAGAAAAATATCGAGGAATTGACTTTACAGTATGAAAGGCTTCATAGCATATTGTCTGAAAAGGTAAAAATATTTGTAAAAAAGCAACTTAAAAATTTGTAAAACAGATATTTTTATAATATAAATGCTTTTAGGATGCGGAGATCGAAACTTTAACGAACGAAGTGCAAGAATTACGGGATACAAAAAATAATAATGCAGATGCGGCAAAATTAGTACAGGCTCTCGAAAGCGAAAAACTTGGTGCATCTAGAGCTGTTTTACAAAATCAACAATTAAAGAAACAGTTGACTGAAATGCAAAATGCTTTTGTCACACTTGTAAGTAACACAGCTGCACGACTTTCATTGACATTAAGTACTTTTTGAAAATAAAACGTGTGGTTCTACAAAAATAAACAATAATATAAAAGGCGATAAGAATTGGAAGAACGGTTGTCAGAGTGTAAGAAAACTACTATTATAAATTAATATACAAAAAAATATAAGTGTATTTTGGCCACAATTTTAAATCCTCTTCAGTTTGACAATGTATAAGGAAGAAAGAAAAATATAAAGGAAAAAGTTACATGAGAAATATTAAAAATTATATAAAAATAATTAAAAAATTATTATAACAAAGAATGCACTCATTGATCGCACGATTCCATCCACAACACATCAGAGCATAGTATAAACACAATTCTTATTACCTTTTATGTTTACGTTTTGAAAGTATTGTAATATTATTGTTTATTAAAAATCCAATATTTTAATGGAATTATATATAATATAATAAAAACTTTTTTCAGAGTAATACTAAATTAGATTTAACGGAACAACTCCAAGCTGAACGAAATATTGGCAGAAAGTTAAATGCAAAATTGAATACTTTTGAGACGGAAATAGACAATTTAAAGGAAAGATTAAAGGAAAAGGAAATATTTTTAATAGAATTAGAGAAAGAAAAGCTGCAAAACGCGCAAATTGCAGATCAAATGCAGCACTATCAAGCTCAATCTCACCACGCTCATACACTTCAACAAGAATTACATAATGCTTTGGTAATTAAAAAATTTTAATTAATAGTTTATTTTGTATAATCCATCTTATTATTTCAATTCCACAATATCATTTTATTTAATAATGATAATTTAAATCACAGATTTATATAGAAAACTTAAAAAAAGAAAATGAGGAACTTTTAAAGAAGTTAAAACATAAAGTAAAAGAAGAGACAAGTTTATCTCAAAAATCTATAAATATTAACGGAGATCAGTGCATAGCGAAGAATGAGCAAAATCCTGATGATATTGCAACAACGCACAGTTTACTACTCTCGGAGAATACAAATACTTCAGATAATTCTGGGCCTATTACAAAATTAGAAAAGAGATTTAAAGAAACGATGGAACAAGTCGCAGAATTAACTGATGAAAAACAGAAATTGGAGCATCTTGTTCTTCAACTTCAAGGTGAAACAGAAACTATAGGTGAGCTCTATTATTCAATACCAAGTTTATTGCAGTTTTTTTTAGAGATATAAAATTATTTTTAAATTGAAGACTATGTTTGATTAAGTATGACGTATTTAAACAGGAGAGTACATCACTCTATATCAAAAACAACGAGCGGTCCTAGGAGATAGATGGAAGGAGAGAGAGCAAACCTTCCGTCAATTGGTGGAACAACGTAATCAGCAACAGGAACAGTTACACAAATTAAAAGTATTAGTTACTGAACTACTGAAGAAACATCCTGAAACATTAATAAGTCCTACGGAACCTTGTATGGATTGTCATAAAGGTAACTGATTTGTATTTGAGTTTTTGTTTGCAACGTTTAAGTAAATGTGTAATTATAAAATTTGTTTCACTTATACACAGAGTGAAAAAAAATATATAATTATATATATATACATATTTTTTTTTCACAGAAATAATGAATGTCGACAATCTTGCATTCCCTGAAAATGAGCATCAGGAGAATGTGGAACTACCATTGATTGAAGATAAAACGGCATCAGAGATTCTTGATCTTCTGACAGAAATCAAAGACTGTAAAGATGCATGTATTATTGAACCCAACTTTCATCCTTGTCCATGGTGTTCTGGAAGACTTATCACAGTGTAATTACGAATAAAATTATTTCAATCTTTGCTACAATAAAATATATTTATACAACACATACTAGTTACGTAGAATGTATATACTTGTATATATAAAAAATTTTCAATCTTTTTCAAACTTCTGTATCAACTTTTTAAAGGTGCAAGTGAACATTTGTTTAAGAAATTACTTTTTAAATACACAGTGCCTTGAATAATTTTACAAATAGAATCGTTTTTGTCACACTTATTTGTCTCGAAAGCCTTCCTAAGATAAAAAATAAACTTATAAATAAACACACAATATTTTTATGAAATTTTTATTTTGCATATTGATTAAAAATTTACACACTATGCTTTCAAAGCATATTTTCTTGGTGGAAATGCAGTATTCTTGCGTATTTCCTTCAATGTTTTTCGGCTAGCCTGATAAGGAGTGAGAACACGGCGCATAGCTCTTGTTTTCTTGGGCCTCAAGTCAAGAGGCTTATACTTTTTGTTTTTATAAAACAAACGGAGGTTACCCTTTTGTTTCTGGTGCATAATGATATATACACGTGCGATAGCCTTCCTCACAACTCGACTGTAATAATATAATAGAAGCATTTTATTTATTTCAGATATATGCACTTATATATAAAACATTGGCAACATAAAATGTTAAATTAAAAAAAAAATTCAATAAATAAATTTAAAATACTTAAATATATATTTTAAGTTAAAGTATATTGATTATATATTTCATAATTTTAAAGATTGTTACAGTAAACAATATCATACATTAAAATATTATCATTAAATTTGAATAAATTATAAATGTGTTATATGAGTATTAGTATTTTATAAAAGCTTACATTTTAGATAATTTTGAAGCAGCTCCTCCAGTAACTTTAGCTACTCTTAACGTAGTCAGTTCTGTCTTCAGCTGCTCAAGCTGCTTCAGCAACTCCTTCTTATCCTTTGTCCTTAATTCCGAACACTTTACCTTTGCCTAAAATAGTGCAATATAAATGAGTGTCTCCACATGTACATTATGCAAAATTGGAACACTATAGGTATTGTTATTATGAATCTTATTATTGGTTTTATTTTTCTTGAAAAAGGATTGATAAAACATGTATAAAAGATAACGTATAAAATGGAATTTTTTTTCTATTTTAAATTATAATTTAATAGTTGTGACGCTATCGACGTTTCGATAATGAGAGGTTATGTGATATAATTTGGTTAATAAAATAGAAAAAATTCATAATTTATCGATTACATCGTAGTAATCACACAATTCCTATAAAATAATTAAGACACATTAACCGTTGATGTTCTAAATAAAATTCGATTATTATTCTATACATTACTAACCATGTTTAACCGTTCTTCTTGTACCAAACATGTACCACGAACACCAAGAAAGAGAATGAAAGCGAATGACTCCTGCCCGCAAGATGCATTAACGCATTACGCATGACGGAAGTCGGTACGACGGCCAATCAACTTCTCGCATTTCTGAAAGCGAGATTAATGACAGCCGCAGTGATGCAAACTCGAGCCGGCCAGCACCAGGGCTCCGTGGTAGGAAAAGCACAAGATCTATAGAGAGAAAGTTACCTCATGCGTAAAGAGGGACGAGCGGCAAGAAGGGCAAATGCAGAGAGCGGCGAGCGGCAAGAGAGGCAAATGCAGAGCAAGATCTATAGAGAGAAGGTTACCTCACGCGCAAAGCAGTGTTGCTAGACGGGACCACGGACTAAAGCCTTGTGTCCACGATGCTAGAACTCAATCCGAGATCTCGGTCCGAGTCCTCGAACAATAATATTTATACTTGGCTGAATATAGTTAGCGTTGTAATCGAGTTACGATTCTTTACGATGATTTTCTGATCTGTTATATTGCCAAGTTGGTTTATAGATATCATCAAGTAATGCACCGCTTGATTTCGAATGTTTTATTTTATTTAGATGGTCCAGATATTGTGATCATAAATTATTAATTTTTTTTTGCAATTTCAGTTGTTAGTGGTTGTCCTGTTAATTCTTTGTACTAATTACAGATTATCTGTAAAGCTTGATCTCGTTTCATACGATTATGATAATCAACACTTTTTGTAACATATAAACAAGAATGTTGTTGATATAACATTAATAAAATTTTAACATTTTTCTTATTATCCATTTTTTATTATAAAAGAAGTTTTTTCTGAAAATCAATTTTATATATTATTATACTTTTCTTGAAAAATAATATGTATATATAGGTTATAATATATTTTTAATGTCTAATTTAATCTGCATT